GTATTGTGTGTGAGTGTGTCCTTTAAACGTGTGGGTTAAATAATTGAAAAAATATTGCTGCTCAAATGTAAGTGATTTTGAGTGTAATAAAGGCACTTTCAAATGCAATGCCTCTCTGCCTGAGTGTTACGTCAACCATTTTTCTTATAATCAAAGCCCTCCTGCTGTGACTAAATCATTCAAACGTCTTTTAAAGCACCTTCAGAAACATCCAATCACCAACAATTGTTTAATAGTCCAGGGCAAAGACACTTTTAAGAATCAATCTGTTACCTGTTTTCTCAAATATTGTGTTGGGGCCTATAAGAAGGTTGTTCAGTGATGATAATAATGCAAAACAATTCTGAATTTACACAGAATTCTCTCAGTTGAGCAAATGAAAAGTGATCCTTATTTTACTGAACAACATTGCTTACCACTAGAACATGAACACACACACACACACACATACACACACCAGTGAGCAGGTGGGCTACATGAAAGCACATGTGCACCTGCAGGTTTTTCGGTGACGGTGATACACACACTTTGATCTGTTGCACCGTCATCCCATGGTACCACCAATGTGGGCCTGTTAATATGTGTTTATATATCTGCCCGTGTGTGTGTGGGTGTGTGGTCAGATGGGCATTTCTCCTCTTCTAACTTTGAAGTGCGTTACCAGTGGAGTCAGTGTGTGTCTGTAAGTGTGTGTTTGGTGCACTATAATGAACATTCTTGCAGCATAAAGGCCCTTTTGTCATGGTAGAAGGAGAGACGGCCGTGTGTGTGTTAATGGCGTCTGTACAGTATGTGCATGTATGGCAGAAGAGGTAAAGAGTGAGAGGTTAGCGCAGGCTGGTACTAGCTGCTGAGGCCCTTGTGGTGTGTTGTGTGTGTGTGTGTGTGGTGTTGTGTGTGTGTGTGTGTGTGTGTGTGTGTGTGGGTGTGTGTGTGTGTGTGTGTGTGTGGTGTGTGGTGTGTGTGTTGTGTTGGTGTCTGTGTGTGTGTGTTGTGTGTGTTGTGTGTGTGTGTGTGTGGTGTGTGTGTTAGAGAGAGATACTGAGTGTACAACAAGATACAGAATGACAACGACAGAGCATTGTATAAGTCTCATTCAGTATCATTACACAGTGTCACGCGTCGCCCCAGCTGATTTAAGTCCTTTAGAAATATTCAAGTCTCAATCGGTCCTCAATTGACCATTTGCTAAGCCCCGCCCCTCATAGTTACTGTTGCTAAGCTTGGCCAACTTCGAATTGCACAGAACAAATGCAGTTTACAACGATAACGATAAAAGATTAACACTTTTTTAAGCAAAGTTGTTTTAGCATTGGCTGGCTGAAATAGCTGGTCACTAGATGTTATTAGCTTTAGCTAGCGACCGACCTCAGCTAACATTAGCTCCATAAAATAATATTTGTGAGTAGAATAAAATGTAAGAACAAATAAAGATTAAATCGTGATGTTTGTAAATGTCTGTTTCCTTGTATCTTGTAAACGCTTGTGATATGAGTCTTTAAAACTCACTGATAGCAACAAGATATCCTGCTTCATGATTGTTTGGTTGCTTAGTTTACATACTTGTTTAGCATATAAATAGGATTTTTTTCACTTGAATCATTGGCAACCGTTTTATGAAGAGATAAAATGGATGTGTCAGTTAACACAACACCTCCCTCAGGGTAAAGAGTTTGACTGACAAAAAGTAAGACTTAATATGTTTTCATAAACAACCGACGAGGACCATGGCGAGACGGCACTAACATAATTAAACCACTAACTGTGACTACTTCAACATGCTGGTGGTTTGAAAAAGAAATACTTTATTTGCGTTGGCAAAAAACAGAAGACAAAATATTGTACTTTTTTTTTTCAATGCAGCAATTCTGTTTGTGCACCATATTAGGACACTATGAAAACAGCTCCATCCTCTTTTCCAAATATGTTCACGTTTGGTTCCAAAAACCACAACCACTGTAGCTTCAACAAATGTTCAATTACAGGCCTCTTTGTGTTTACAGTGTGTATATATATATATATATCTAAAAAGCAATAAAAGGTTTTTCTTTTCAAAAGCCATTTATTTCCGACCGAAGCTCCTCAGACAGCTTGTAACTTCATCTCATTAACACCTCATTAACTGCCTATAAGTACATTTAAATCCACACGAAAGGATTAAAGCCGACCTGGAAGTATCCACTCATCACAGTACATGGAGTAATTCTATTCTTAAACTTCATACACAAATAGTTCTTCCCATTCATTCACAAGAGATAATACTAAAACAGGTTTTGTTAGTGTGGTGCAACAGCTCACAACTTTGTTTACAGTCAAGAGAAACATTGCAACATCAAGACTAAGAAGCAGCACAAAGTGCCTTCAGCCTTTATTTATAGAGGCAGCAAAGCGATCAAGGATTAAGAAAATTACAAGCATGGGCTTTGCTAACTTTTGTTTTATATTTCACATTTTAGAACATGCACAAAAGTCAGAAATGCCCTGAATGACCATTTCAAACCACCGCTTTCCCCTTAAGAACCTCTTGGTCTTTACTGTGTTTACAGACGTGCACAAAACTGAGCAACCCTATCTGAAAGCATTAGACATTTAGCAGTCAAAACAAAGCCCATCCTTTAAGTGTCAGGGGAGGGAGTCTATACATTTACCCCGTGCTGCTGGACATCATTTATCTGCACAGTATCTTATAGGAGACCTAGGAAAAGTCAGAGCAGAATGTAATTGGCATCTTTCAAAAACTCTCATTTTCTAGGAACCAAAGCCTGAGGAGGTCTTGGCTGAGGAACTCACTCTCAGTTTCTGAGAATGAAGTTCTGTGGGCAGGACGGTTTGTTTTCAACCTTTCATTTGAGGATTAACTTGAGACCTGTTGCTCAAACATTACACTAATCCAGGCTTAAATTAACAGTCCATCCTAATAGTCAAATATCTGAAAGACAGCAGAAGCGTAAATCTGGAAAACCACAAAACAAAACAGTTTCTCCAACGGTTTCAGCTGACAGTTCCTGGAAGCTTGTTGATGCAATTGTATCAAGAACAACACAGACGAAGGGCAGGTGTTACGGCTCCCACTCTCCAAGGACAGTATTAGTAACAGCTTAGTGTCATAATCAATAGTAGATCATCTTGATTTTGCGTAGTCTATGCCTGAAATATGAAAGAAAAATGACGACTCACATGTATAAAGAATTTTCTTTGATACATTATTGTTTGTGCTTGTGTGGTGATGACAGTTTATGTTGGTTATTTTATCTACCGTGTTCATCCTTCTACTAGTTTAGAGCATATTAAAGTGGATTTCAGAGGGGATGTTAAGCTATTCAATGCTCTCAGAAAATGAATTACAGTGCTCTTAAATTCTCTATTTCATTAAAAAAAAAGGCCACGAGCCTGGATGGGTTACTATCACCTGAGATAAACGTGGGATGGGAGTGCCATATTGTATAATTCCAAAAACATTAAAAGATAACCTATATTTTCATCCCTTTGTACCCTAGCATGGGACACATTGTTTCCTATGTGTGATGCTCTGTTTCAGGTAACATTAACATAATGAAATTCCTGCCGTTGAAGTGATCATTTTTCTGAGGATTATAGGATTGCAGAGGTATGTGTTTAATCACTGTTGACAACCATCGCTCCCCCGAGGACACTGTGCGTGTGTGTGTGTATTTGAATAAGATGGAAAAACGTTGTGTGTGTTGCAAAATGTTGGTGGTCTGATATGTTTGTATGAGAAAGAAACCAGAGAAACAAATATGTGTGGCATGTGTGTATTTGTTGTAGTGTGTTCTTTTTTTGTGTCTACTTTTCTTTGGTTCCTGTATTTTCCGCTCACGCTGACAAACCCATACCGCTGTGTTTGAAGGGTTTTCTGTCTGCTGGTTCCTTTCCTTGACTTTCTCTCTTTTTAAACCTTTAATCAAAAATGTCGAGTGTCACACAGGGTTAAGCTGAGACTGCATTGTCAATTATTGTTTGAGGGGAAACATATTTCCTCATGGACGTTTATTTTTTGACTTCATGTCATATCAAAGTCCTCATAGAAAGGAGGTTGTGACTTTCACCAAGGAGACAGGTATTCTTATCGCAAATGTATTCTGATTCTAATAAAGGTATTCTGAAGTGAAACCAAAAGTCAATTTGAACTTACTTTAAATTATATACGTAATTTAAAAAACAGGATATAGTTTCTCCCTAGGGAGGTGTTCCAGGCACGTCCAGCTGGGAAGAGACCAAGGGGTAGACCTAGGACCAGGTAGAGGGATTATATCTCTTCTCTGGCCTGGGAGCGCCTTGGGATCCCCCAGTCAGAGCTGGTTGATGTCGCCAGGGGAAAGGGAAGTTTGGAGCTCTCTGCTGGAACTGCTACCCCCCGCGACCCGACCACGGATAAGTGGGAGAAGATGATGGAGATGGATGGATTTAGTTTCAATTTGATTAACTAGAATTTGGGAGAAAACATTTCTCCTCAAAAGACAAGTGATCATGCAGTTTAGTTAGGGTTAGGGTAAGGAAAAGTCATTTTTGTTAGAGGCAGGGTTGTTGGTTTTGAGATATGTGTCTCTAACACTGATGATGTAACATGGCTTTGTTCCTATGCACATGGTATATGGAGGTCCCTTTTACCTGGGGGTCTGGGGTTCCCTGCTTTAGAGAGCTGTAAACTCCCAACAGTGGAGCCTCTGTGCTTTACAAGAAGACATCTGACCTCAGTTAACTTAACAGAAATACAGCAGAATGTTTTTGTTGGGCAAACAAGCACAAATACATGTTACTTGGTGTATATTGGTTTGGAAATTCAAATAGAATCATGGATAGGGACAGGCCTAACTTATATGGTAAAACTTGGACAATATTTGCTTGGTTTTCACCCTGATGTCCATTTCCAGCATTTCGACAACCTAGATTTGGTACAAGTGGAGAATAGAGAGAAAGAGAGAGAGGGAGCGGGTGAATAAGCCGTTTGTTTGTCTCGCTGTCTCTCCGGCCTGGTGCTTGGTGCCTGGCGTCCAGGGTCATTTCCTTTCATAGCGACCACTGCCATCCTTGCATTAGCATTTTCTCCGCTGTGGGGGTAACACTTGAGTGTGAGAGTGTGTGTGTGCTGGGTTGCTTGCACACTTCGGGCCTTATTATGCAGGGACTTGGGAAGACAGAGAGAGGGGAGCAGATCCGAGACATCGACCTGACGTCGCTGAGATCCACCATGCCAGCCAGCGGGCCCCTGCAGGTGAGTGCCCCCTGAGAGAGAGAGAAACTGTGTGTAAGAGAGGGACAGACTGGGAGAGAGCTGGGTAGAGATAGAGCAGACATAGAAAGATGAATTAAGTTGTGTTACAGATGCATCTTTCTATCTGTTTAGCAAAGGCCTCTCCTAACACTCCACCTTTCTGTTCCCCCCTCCGACTCCCCCTTTCATCTCCATTCCTCTCTGGTCTATCTGTGACTCTGAATCTCTGCTCCTGTCTTAGCTTTGCCGCAGAGCTGTGGTATGTCCTGTCTGTGTGAGAGCTGAGATCAGAGGCTGGCTGTGTGTCTCTCTGGGTTCAGCCCAGCGTTTGACTCTATTCTGAGACCAGGTTACGATCGCAACATCCATCAAAAATCAATTAGGGCCCGGGTGCAAAGTCTAATAAAGTCCTCTAATGCAGCAACGGGTCAACAGAATAGGTACTCACCAATGCCAAGAAAATAGGGCAAGGTTTGGGAGCATGAAGAGGATTTATTCAGTGTGTGTGTGTGTGTGTGTGTGTGTGTGTGTGTTTCTGTTAGACATTGAAAAGGTGTATCTTATGTCTTAGCTATAACAAGGGGCTTTCCCTTTAAATCTACTTTTTTCTAGGTAATTTCTAAGTTGTGTTTTTTAGTTCAGCTTTTCAGCTTGTTGTTAGTCAACAGTGGAAAAGAAATAGATCACAGATAACTAACTTACCAAGAGATAACATTTTAATTTCAGTCTAATTTTACCCGATAGCAACTCAGTAAAAATCTTATATTTGACTTCCTTTCAGCAGTATGACAGTTGCAGCAGCAGTATGAATTTATTTAGCAGCAAAAATAAGTTTGCTGCTTGCTAACCACGTCCAAATATACCTCTCATGAATGCTGGTTCTGTTCATTCATTGACTTGAGCAAACATACACTTTCATTCCCTGACTTTCCCTGGTATGATGAGTCACTCTTGCATTTTAGTGAAACCTTGAACAATATTCTTTATGAAAGTATATTGCATCTCTGATTCGATGAGTATCATTTGTCACAGTGATAACATAAAGCTGTAACAGTAGCTGGGGTATGTTTCATCAGCAATAAGCGAATATTATAAGCAGATGGATGGTGAAAGAGGATAAAGACCACCAAGACTGTTGGCAGAGACAGAGGCCATGGACATTTTTAACCATAAAACATCTAGCCTCAAATAAAGCTGTTTACTTTGAATTTTACATAGCGTTAACATTATATCTTGTGGAGAATCAAACTGCCAAGACAAAATCATACAAAGTTACAGACAGTTATGTGTGTTTTTGATGGGTCAATAATGCTTTTTAGGAGGTGAAAGACAGTAATGTATTTAGTGTCAAGGCTGTGCTAATAAGCTAATGTTGGTGGTGGCTAGCAAGGTTAGCCTTTCTGGCGCAGCTTCTTATCTAACTTAATGCTGTTAGGGGTTTCTTGTTACAGCCCCATGCTGGCAAAACGCAACATCTTGCAAGAAACAGCGCCTGAGGGCTTCTTAATATTTAACAAACTATGAATGTGTCATACCCACTTGGGGGAAGAAACTCAGCTATCAGACAATATTAACAATGTTTAGCTAAACGAAACACAAGGGTAATACCAAGCCTCATTAGCACTAAGCGAAAAAATGTAACGCACTTAGCACACAACTCACGGTAGAAATATTTTATACTTCATCGGTTCTGCACAAACAAGATAGTTGCTTTGAGAGAGAGAGTGTATGAGAGCTTCCGGTGTTGGGCTTGCTGGCTGCGCATCACCCATTCACCAATGGTAATGTTTAGATGGATTTAGGAACTTCCCTCTTGATTCTATTGGCTCTATCGGTTAAAAAAAGATGTGTCAATCATCAAAATCGACCGATGGGTTCCAGACATAGACTGAGCAACCCAGTCTCACTGCATTTCTTGTTATAATCACGAAATTCATTTAATCTATTGATTCGTGTTAAATTAATTTCGTGACTATTACACAAAATGCCGTGAGACTGGGTTGTCCAGAGATATGGAAAATACACCCAAATGACCCCAGAAGTGGGTCTTTTTTTCTTAAGAGTTGGTGATTCTTATGCTGCAGCCACACGGAGACGATACGGGTCGTATCCGCTACAGTTCTCTATCATATACACACGAGGCTGACAGGGAAACGCAGAAACAATAACGATGACGGATCCCAAGGTGGGTAGATCTGCAGACGCAACGCTCTGGGGGGCCAACCGGCTCTGTGTGTGTACGCCCTATACGATCATTTCCTGATAATGATGATGCAATAGCCCCGCCTCTCCCCACCTCTACTGCTCCCCCCGCGTCATTGCTGATGTGTTTCGCCAACAACAACAGTGTTCTTAGTGTTTCGAGCCAGGTCCCGGTATCTCGCAGGACAGTGCACCCAGCAGGAGCCTCCAGCAGACCCCCCCCCCCCCCCCCCCCGCACGGTTCCCCTCGTCCCTTGGAAGAGGCGGAGAGGTGGGTGTTTTTCATCTGCTGGTGGACTACCGGGGAGAACGCCAGGCTCAGAGTTAGTGGCAGTGGGTGCGGTGCACCTGCCTTTTACAGCAGGAGTACACGCTCGCCTTGGGGAGGGAGAAAAAGAGAAATAGCAGCCGCCGAAACAGCCAGAGCGCTGCCTCTCTCCCCACCGCTGCTGTTGTGTTTCGCCAACAACAACAATGGCAGATCACAGGGTTGCTTTTGTGCTTCAGACACTACTGACCATGCTACAGATGTTAGTGCAAAATCTACAGCTCCTCTACCACAACCATCAGTAACAAGTGGACATGGAGAACTATGAACTACAGAATAAAAAGAAGGGCAACCATGCTCGGGGGTCTTCTTCGCTGATTTTGGTGTATTTTGTGGCGGAAGTACAGCGCCACTTACAGGCCCGGAATATGTACTAAAGCATCTCCAGCGGGTCGAGCGGTCTCGTGTGGACGGACACGTTTCTGGTGCCGATTGCGTGTGGGCGGAAGACTTTTTTGATATCGAATTCGGTTGTTATCGTCTCCGTGTGACTAGGGTCTTAGAAAATGGAAAAACCATCTAATGAGATGATGAGTTTCATTGGTGTTCACGTGGGTGTGATTTTAATGATGATCAGCCAGTTCAAATTATTGTTGATGTCTATGAAGTCTGGTGCCTTTGAGGGTTGCACAAATCCACAATCTCCTGCTCTGGGGGATTTCGTTCTGAAACAGGATTCTGTGGCCAGGCTTGGTTTGTGCATTAGATTGAACAACAACTAACTAGCATTTTGGCTAACATTATGGTATAAGCTGAGCTGTTGGGCAGATTTGTGTGCCTTCTGGGTGGGCGTTCCCATAGGGCTGTCAATAGCACCCTTAACCACAGATAAGCTGATAGCATATAGGCTATAGCACCATTTGGCCTCAATCTGCCATTAGCTATGGTAGTAAGGATCACATCATATGGCTCAGAATGTAACTGTTTATGTTATACAAACTAAGTCCTTGCCACATCTATTTATTTCAGGCCTGGTTGCTTCATCACTGACTGGCAGATGTCAAAAGAGAAATGTGTGATCTTTGTAAAAGCGGAAATGAGTGTATTGGTATGCACATGCATTTTTGTGAAATTGCTCTCTCAGCATGATACACATCCTGTATAACAGTGGCAGCTCACGCTGGTGGTGTGTGATTGATCATCTCTACATTACACATGTGTCTGTGCTAAGTTGTTTTACCAGACAGATGGATGGCAGGTTGCTACTGTGCATTACAGCGTACAGCAGGTTTTGCAGGGTGGTGTATGTTACAATGTGAGAATACCAGCTATATAATTAGATGTGGATTTCCTAACCTCCCACTGGTATCAAACACTAATCACTGGTAATGTTGTCACGATTGTGAAAACAGTTTAACACTGGAACATTTCTACTTGATCTGCTTGGTTTTGAAAGGGTTTCTCAGTCTCTGACTTCATGACATTTGCTCAACCTGTGCACTTAGCATAGCTTCCTAATCATGTTCAAAGCAAAGTATGTAATTTGCTAAAATTTGATTTATGAGGTTTGGTCTGTGTGAAGCTGCCACGATGAATCTATTTCTATGGTGTGAATACTTTACACCTCAAAGTCACTCTCTATGAATAGAGCTAACAGAGGTGTGGAGAGGCCAACCTAAATTACTTGCCATAGTTATTATTTAAAAGTCATTATCACACCAGGTCAACTAGGGTTCGGAGAAAGTGATAGTTGAATTAATAGGATGAGAGACTAAAAGACTACAGCAGGTGCTCAAATGCTGTGGTGCGTTTCTGCGCCATTTTGGTTTTGCTAAAGTATCGTCCTGGACAGTGACGGTAAGCAGCTTATTGCCTGTTGCAAGCTAAACAAGTAAAGTAAACGCAGAAGCAAAGAATAAAGAGGAAAATATTATACTAACAGCAGGTACTTCTGATAAACTTAAAGGGGACCTATTGTGCTAAATGCACTTTTTGATGTCTTTTTAACATAAATATTAGGGGTGTGACGGTAGACGTATTCGTACCGAAATTATTCGGTATGGGCCCTTCGGTTCGGTACACGTGTGTACATTCAGTGTAATTTGCTCACATTGGGTTCAACGCGTCATAGAGAAACCAAGTCATTTCATTGGACGAGAGGCATACTATGAGAGCTGGTCACAGGGATGCGTTCAAATTTAGTCAGTAATTTGAGGAACTGGCGAAATAGCGAACGCAGATAAAGTTGAGCTCGAAAATCCTCCAGCATCATTGAAGTCTCCGGTTTGGGAACATTTTGGTTTCACAGTTACGTACAAGGATGACGGACAAAGACAGGTGGACCAAGTACAGATTATTTCAGTTCATCGAAATGCTGCATCTTAATGTTCATTTTGTTGTTTATTTGTTTAATAATAATTAAAACCCCCCAAAAAAATATCTTATGTTTTGTGATAATTGTTTCTGCTGTACCGAAAACACACCGAACCGTGACCTAAAAACCGAGGTATGTACCGAACCAAAACGTTTG